AGGATGGAGGCAGCTTTCCTATGCACCAAGTAATGAGGGGAATGGTGATGTGTGGAAGAAGACAGACTGACAGGAGCACACTGAGCTTTTGTTGGTGCTGTAACACCTTGTGGGTTGTAGAAAAGTCTATACCGACCTGAAGACACTTAGAGTTGGCAATACTTCCAAGCTGTTGTTATACTTTCAGTTAAATCTAGGAATTTGGATGAATTATTAGATTTGACTAAAATGCTAACATCTCAGTGATCCTCTGGCTTTCTGGTATAAGTACTCTCCAAGCTAGAGTGTGAATACCCAAACCGAGCTGCTTGGGGATCTGTCGGTACCCAAGGGTTTGGACAGGTAAAATTTTAGGCTTGATGACTGAGGCACTAAAATGTCTGCTTTGTTTAATGAACAGGGGAAAAACACCATACAAACTCAACTGTGTCGGGCTCAGATCGAGTTTGGACATTATATACTATAAGCTTGTCAGGTCCGGCTTGAGTTCAGATGCCATACTCTCTAGGCATAGGTTGGGTTCGGACAGAAGTATGTAGCCCAATCCATGCCGCACCATTTGGGATAAGCCTGATGACATCATCAAGCTACTTTTACTGACTTTGGAGCACCCCCCTGGGGCCACAGAAGACAGCGTACACCTGTTTTCACAGGCTGAGTAGCACTACTTATGATGAGTAAAATTAACTCAATGCACTAAATCAGTCAAGCTCCCCTTTAAATCCTGTGTAACAGTCATTATGGCTAAGGCTACAGTTATACACGTCATAATAATAATATTAAACATCCTGTCTGCTGACAGTCATCAACTCTTCTCTCTAGTTATCCTTGACCAGATGTACCCTGTAGAAACTCATAAGCATGACTAAGCATTTAACAGTCTAACTAGACATCCTATCTCCACTAAACATTTCTAATACATAAAGTATCTATCCAATATCTATCTGACTAAAAATACCTAACATACCCTTCATACTTTTCGCCCCTGTCCCTCTGACAGCCAGAGTCCGCCGCTGGTAGGTAGGTCGTTCCAGCAGGTTGGTGTAATTTCGACACTGGTTTCAGTCCGTCTGTAAGATTCAGCCACGGTGCGCTTAATTTATCCGTTTCTAAAAGCAGTTCGTAGAACGAGCCTTCTGGAAACAAGGAGTAAATGCTGACTTCTGACACAATTTCTACCAAAACGAGCGCACCATAACTGAAAGACTAACTCCAGAGCAAATAAACTAGTAATGTATGCTATATGTTACCGTTTCACTTCCTACTAAAAATTAATAAACTCGAACAATGAACTCGCCGCGACATTTCGCTAATTTGTTAATGAGCTTTGTAACTAACATAATTTCGATTTGCTAGTTTAGGTTAAACTAACAGCTAAATGCTAGCTAGCTCATTAGTTAGCTTAACATGGTTAATGCAAACGTTAAGACTTGCTAACAAAAGGTCACGTATAGAAAAACATATTTGAAGGAAAAAAAATATTTTTGCTTGAACTATGAGCAATGAAAGTATGGGCGATGGAGGATCTAGTAACGTTACAGGTTTAATTACCAGTTAAATAGGATGGATCCTAATTCTAGTATATTCTCACTTCATGTTAATACAAACCACGTAAACCGCGTTAGGCCTAACCCCATTGAAAATTAATTATTATTGCTGCTTAATAATTGTTATTATTAATGATATTAGTAACATCGTTTAATTAATGTTAAAACCGTCATAGACAGTTAAAGTGAGTATATATATCTAAATCCTAGACTGTCACTGTCATTCTACTCATGTATGAATAAAACAGGTGTTTTCCTCGCTGGAAGGATGAACAGGCCTACAACAAAGCTGAACACAACAGAGAGCAGTCAGGAAGATGTTGACACTGATTCCACTTCAACAAAACATTTTGGTTCTGAGAAGCACCATAATGTCCAGCCAGACCCTGCAGGGCCTCGTCTTTGGACAGGGTTCCCTTCCGATGTCAGCCTGCCTGGAATATTCCCCCATCCTCACCAGGGTATTATCCAGCCAACACTGATGGACACTGTCAACTTAAGGTAAACGCTAACTTTATTTTTTCACTGTTTTCTTACACTAATCATTACTAAGCTTTAAATGAGCTTGCTCTTTTCATTATTTCTCTGCCGGTCATTGCTACAATTACTCACAGACTATGATTTTTTTTGTCCCATCTATAAATAATATGTAATAAATCAGTGCACACAACACTCAGGCAGCAGCTTTTCAGTTTTAGTCACTACTGATCATGGCTTTTTATTTTAAAATAATTTGACTCCATGACTAATTTGATTCAGGATTCAGATTGGATAAAACATTATCATAGTCCAACTCTATTTTCAGTTATAATATCAATTAGTAAACTCTATGCTGTTTTAAAAAGGACATGTAGCGCAGTACACCCTGGTCCTTTGCAAAGTCCCAGGTGCTGTTGGCAGTGTCTTAGCCCGTATTTCAAAGTTCTTTGGTAATCACTTTTAAGTCATTTTGCCCCCTGTGCATTATCCACACTGTATTTTTTATGTTAAATGTTTATAAAAGAGATGCATTAATGCTATTTCTTAAAAAAAAAAGTAAATGTGCCCCTAAATCTTTGTCTGTGCCCTTAAATTTCTTCATTTCAGGGCACAATTGTCTCTAAAAATAAATGTCATTATTTTTGTCAATATTTGATCTTTTTCATCTATGAGGTTGTTTTACATGCCCTTTATGGTCATTTTGCATCGCTTTGTGGCTGTTTTGCATCTCTTTTCACTCTTTTTGCCTATTTGTTGTTAATTGACTTTCCAACCAGAAATGTTAACAATCATTTTCCATAGAGGTTCTGGTCCAGGTGCCCCCTGATTCCTGTGCCCAGTAGGCCTGTTCAGTAATCTATCCATGGACACAGGGACACTGAGAGGCCGAGCATCATAAAATGTACCAGTTTTCAGTGGGAAATTTCAATTATAGAATTATACCAGTGTTTCAGGGGCAGCAACAGTGTAAGATTGAATGACATGAGGGTCTGATCCATGTCTGAGTGCACAGACCTATGTGGAAAGGAAATGATGTGTTTGGAATGATAAATTGACTTCAGACAGTCTTGGTTTCTCCAGTTCTGTGCCTGGACCATCAAGCAGCAGCTATCACAGTTCCATTTCTGCTCCTTGGCTTAATAATGAATGCCTTTTCTACAACATGATGCCGGTGAGTTCAAACATTACATATTAAATAAATGGATTAATAAAAAATGTATTCATTTTTTTTTCTTATGTGTGTTGGTTTGTCTTGTGTGTTTTAGGTGGACTTGCCTGCTCCTGTTACTAATATCCATGTAGCACAGGCCATGGGGCATCAGCAGGTTTGGGAGGGACTGTCTGAAGTCACACCCCACTTCACACAGCCTGTGAGTTTTTACCAGCAAAATCCTGGTGTCTGTGTTCAACCTGTCAAACCTTGCATAGAAGTTGTTGAGGGAGGGTGGTGCCCTGGGGGGCTGTGTTTGTTGATTTGTTCCTGTAGTTGGTGACTGCCTGGATTCCCTGCCACATACTGTGCGTGCTGTTAGTCATATAGTAGCTCTCCAGTTTTTGGAAGTATGCTCTGGTTGCAGCTCTGCTGGACTTCTGTAGCTCACCTGACACATCTGCCCCTCGTTTCCTTGATTACACCAGCTGTTTTCACTCAGTCCTTCACCTTATTTATACCCGCTTCACTTCACACTTCCTTGCTAGTTTGTTTGTTTGCTTCCACGCTGACAACCAGCGCTTCTTCGTTTCATTCGCTATAGTGTTTTCTGTTTTGAATTATCCTAGCCTATTTTCTAGATTATGATTTTGTGTTCTGCCCAGCCATCACGCTACACCTCTCCAGTTCCTCCTGACCACCTCCCCTACGGATTACCTTCTCTGGACCATACGCCTCATTACTCTACCAGTCCCACTAGTCAGGTTGATGCACAGTCCTACAAACTGCTCATCTCACCGTTGTCTTCTCCTCTGCCTTCTCAGTCATCGTTCATTGCCACCAACCTTATTTATACCCGCTTCACTTCACACTTCCTTGCTAGTTTGTTTGTTTGCTTCCACGCTGACAACCAGCGCTTCTTCGTTTCATTCGCTATAGTGTTTTCTGTTTTGAATTATCCTAGCCTATTTTCTAGATTATGATTTTGTGTTCTGCCCAGCCATCACGCTACACCTCTCCAGTTCCTCCTGACCACCTCCCCTACGGATTACCTTCTCTGGACCATACGCCTCATTACTCTACCAGTCCCACTAGTCAGGTTGATGCACAGTCCTACAAACTGCTCATCTCACCGTTGTCTTCTCCTCTGCCTTCTCAGTCATCGTTCATTGCCACCAACCAGCCAGTAAGTGACCCAGTCAGTTCCGCAGCTTGGCCCTTTTCCTCGACCACGGACTAGAGACTCATTTCTGTACTGATCAATACCCTGTTTTCCCAATACTCATAGTCACCTTGTTTGTTGTTGTCACTTGTGTATATGTAGCACTCACGAGGGTGTGTACAGGGTGAGAAAACTAATATTTGTACCAGTTAAGTTCGTTTACTGGAGCAGTTAGGGCCCCTGAGTAAGCAGGTGAGTTGAACAATAACCACCGACCAGAAAAAATACATTTAAAGTTGCTGGCTTGTATTTACAGATTAAACAGAACAGACATTTACACACAGTAGCATTTAGATGTAAATAAAACCCATTCACAATATTGGTTATAGTCCCATCAAAAATGGAAAAAAAAAAGTATAAACCCAAAATATTTCAGCAAAAGACTGAACAAAACTGTATACCACAGTTTAAATTGCCCTTTTGTTGTTTGTTAGTCCTTTGATCGGTCCAAATTGGCAAATTCTAGATCTATCTGGAGTCCACTGCTGTTCTTATATGGGTAAGTAAATAGGTAAATATGGGTAAATCCTACCAGATTGGATGAGATCCAGCGTAATGTCTAGCAGAGAGCGTTTCGCTTCTGGCATATGCACAGTTCATAAGATCCGTCCGTGGGAGGCTTGCCAACTCATTCCACACACGTGTCATCAAACTCTCGCTCCAGCTCACAACCCTTCAACCCAATCTTAAGGCCTACCATAAACAACATAAAATATACATAAATACTTAAAATAAAACTCTAGGTAGCTTAAAACTTAATAAGAAGACCATTCCTCTCTTAATTGGTGCTCGTTAAGATGGCGCCGTCACCGTAATGGTGGCGGAAAACATGTTAGGACATTAACTTTTACAAGTTAGTTTACTATTTCAAAACGTAACTTACAATAGAACCCAATGAATTTACACTGTAACATGTTTTTAACCCAAATAAGTGCACATTTATCTATATGAACCCACCCACTGATCTTCTCTTGTTTGTATTCATAGCCGCTTTTACTACAGGCCTTTATTCAACCTGGGCTCTGTTAACCTGGGTTACACACACACACACACACACACACACACACACACACACACATATATATATAT